CTTCTGAGCCGCATTCTTGCCGTCTCGTAGCTGTTGTCGGTCCACTGCCACCTCATGCTTGATCGAATGTTGGTGCTTCCGCATCGTCTGTCGTTGAATGTCGAGCCCACCCTCCCCGTCGCGACCGTACTGGTAGCTGGGGTCACCGTGCACCATGCAGATTGAGCACCTCATACAGGGTTGACCCCATGAGGTCTGCGAGATGATGAGCCACGGGAAGTGCTTGAGCCATTTCTCCTTCGCCTTCTCCTGCCACTGCTCGACGGTCAGGACATGGGGGTACTTGTCGTCCTTGTCGGCGGCGGCGAGTTTTGATGGGCCTGCACGAGGTGTGAAGCGGGGGACGGTAGCTGGGGCGACACCTAGAGTGGGACGGGCAAAACTGAGAACACGCTGTTTGAAATTGCCGTTCCCAACTCTAACGCGAGAAAAAGAGATTGCAGTTGCGGTGGTAGCCACAGATGCCGAAACGAGTGGGGGCGACGACTCAGCTTCAGCCGTGCTAGGCTGGGTCGAGGTCTCTGCCGCATCTGACGTGGATGGCGAGCGGATAATAGGCTCGTTGTTGCAGGACGAAATGACGTTGGGGGGAGGAATTACAGGCGGAGGAGTCCCTACTGCGGCAGTTGTGGTTACTGGAATCGCGGCGGGAGCTTTCCGCGTTAAGAAATCTAACGCGGATACCAGGGGCGCCTCAGGTACCGCGGGTGAATCACGCTTAGCGTTGTCGGTTGAGGCGGGTGCGCCATGTTCGGCTAGCATGATGTGGTGTGGTGAGACACATGAGGACGGGACGGGACGAATTGAAACGGAAAGAGAGCAAGGATGGTCAAAGAAAGGCTTGGAGAAGAAAGGATGGGTGGTAAGGACCGTCTTGTCACGAACCGCGCCTCTCTGACGAGGGTCTCACGAAAGTGCAATGGCAGCCCATGCATGCCTTGTTTGCTGTACACCGACTGTCCTTGCACTCTGCCAGCGAGGGAGGGGGAAACGGCCTGGTGTCAGAATATTATTGTCTAGCCTGCAGTGGGGTGCTCTATAGCGGGTACAACCCATCTAGGGTTTGCTATATGTATCCTCATTGCTGCTAGTGAAACCCTCTCTTTTGCCTAAACTTCTCTTGCCTAGCTTGGGCTTACCTAGCTCTGGCTCCTCACTATAGCTACTATCTCAACATGCTATCAGAGCAGAAACGCTCCTGGCCTGTGGGCCCACCTTCTTCCGCTGCTACTCTGTCTGTTGCACGGCCCGTGGCGTGCGATGACTTCTTCCTGCCGTGCGCCCCGAGGCGCGCGGCGGTTTCATGCCGTGGGGACCCGCGCGCGGTCCCCGCCCTGCTCGTCGCGGCGCCCTGGGGGGACGCGCGGCCCCCGCCCTGCTCGTCGCGGCGCCCTGGGGGGACGCGCGGCCCCCGCCCTGCTCGTCGCGGCGCCCTGGGGGACGCGCGGCCCCCGCCCGTCCGTCGCGGCGCCCTGGGGAGCCGCGTGCGCCCGCCGCCCGTCCGTCGCGGCGCCCTGGGGAGCCGCGCGCGCCACCCCCCCCCCCGTCCCGCCCGTCCGTTTTGGCGCCCTGGGGGTAGCGCGCCGTCCCCCTTTGCCGTCCCCCGCGCTCCTGCCCCTCTCCCACCCGTTTTAGGGTTTGGGGGTGAGGAGTGTGGGGGTGGCGGTTGTGGGGGTGTCGGTTGTGTGCGCCATCCCCTACTTCTCCTCCTCCTTCGTCTCCCACTGCTGCAGCTGTCGCTGAGGGGGGTGGATGTGTGGGAGTCTGGGGTTTAGGGTTTAAGGGGGTGCAGTGGGAGTGGAGCTAGGGTTTGAGCAGGGGGTGTGTGTCGAGGGTGTGGGGCAGTTGGAGGAGGTCGTGTGGAGGTACCTGTCGTGTCGCCTGCAGCGCCTGTAGTCCGTCGCCCTTGCTTCGGTAGCCAGTGAGCCTGCTGCACCAGTCGCCAGTGGGTCCGTTGCTCCTGCCGCTCGTCTATAGCCGCCGAGCCAGTTACTCCAGTAGTCCGTCGCCCTTGCTTCGGTAGCCTCTGAGTCAGCCGCTCCTGTGCCCGTGCCTCTGCAGCTTCAGTCATTGCCTCCCATCTTCTCTCTCTTCACAGTTCCTCCTCCTTCTCACTTGCCCGCTGTGATTAACTCTAGCTTTACTTACTACTGTGAACTCTTGCTCTATGCCTGCTCATTGTGCTGATTACACCCCACTTTGGCTATGGGGGTGTGTCAGAATATTATTGTCTAGCCTGCAGTGGGGTGCTCTATAGCGGGTACAACCCATCTAGGGTTTGCTATATGTATCCTCATTGCTGCTAGTGAAACCCTCTCTTTTGCCTAAACTTCTCTTGCCTAGCTTGGGCTTACCTAGCTCTGGCTCCTCACTATAGCTACTATCTCAACACCTGGCAGCGGCGCCGACAACAGCTACCCGACAGATGCTGTCAAAAGTACGAGCAGAAAGTTTAGAACAAGAAAGAGGAGTTGCACTAGCAAGCAGTTGAGTACATATAGGAAACCCTAGATTGGGTTGTACTCACTATAGAGTACCCCACTGCAGGCTAGACAAATACAACATTCTGACACACCCCCATAGCCAAAGTGGGGTGTAATCAGCAGAGCACGCAGTCATAGAGCAGGTTCACAAATGCAAGCAAAGCTAGAGGCTATCACAGAGGGCAAGTGAGGAGGAGGAGAGACTGTGGGGGCGAGAAGATGGAAGGCGACTGCTGAAGCTGCAGACACACAGACGCTGCTAGCTCAGTGGCTACCGAAGCAAAGGCCCGGACTACAGGAGTAACTGGCTCCGCGGAGATTGTAGCCTCCTGACTGGAGCAACTGACCCACAGGCGACTGGCGACTACCGGAGATTGTAGCCTCCGGACTACTGGCGCTGCTGACGACACGACGGTTGCCTCCACTCAACCCCCCCCCCCAGCTGCCCCACGCCCCTATCACACACCCCCTGCTGCACCCCTAGCTCCACTCCCACGACACCCCCCTAGCACCACTCCTTCAGCTCCCACACACCCACCCCCCTGAGCGGCAGCTGCAGCAGCGGGAGACGGAGGAGGAGGAGGAGTAGGGGACGGCGCACACAACCGGCACCCCCACAACCGCCACCCCCACACTCCCCACCCCCAAACCCTAAAACGGGTGGCACGGGGTAGGAGCGCGGGGGACGGCGAGGGGGACGGCGCGCGGCCCCCAGGGCGCCACCACGGGGCAGCAAGGGGCCGCGCGCGGCTCCCCAGGGCGCCGCGACGAGGTAGCGGGGGGTCGCGCGCGGCTCCCAGGGCGCCGCGACAGGACGGCAGGGGCCGCGCGCGACACCAGGGCGCCGCGACGCGACGACAGGGGCCGCGCGCGCCTTGCCCGGGCGCCGCGACAGGACGGCAGGGGCCGCGCGCGACACCCCAGGGCGTCGCAACGGACGGGCGGGGGGCGCGCGCGGCTCCCTAGGGCGCCGCGACGGAACAGCGGGGGCGGCGCGCCAGGTAGGAAAGGGGTCGCGCGCCCCGGGGCGCACGCCAGAGAGTAAACCGCCGCGCGCAAAAATACGTCGCATGCCACGGGGCGTGCGACAGATCAAGTAGCAGCGGAAGCAGGTTGGTGGGCCCACAGGCCAAGGAAGGACACGCTCTGATAGCATGTCAAAAGTACGAGCAGAAAGTTTAGAACAAGAAAGAGGAGTTGCACTAGCAAACAGTCGAGTACATATAGGAAACCCTAGATTGGGATGTACTCGCTATAGAGTACCCCACTGCAGGCTAGACAAATACAACATTCTGACAGATGCGTGGCAGCAACTGAGTCAGATGCGAAGTGCGCTGGCTGGAAAAATCCAAAACTAACCCCCGCGCCCACACGCAAAAATCATTACGCGTGATCACACAGGCAACACATCGCTGCTCCAATGGCCAAGTGGGCCAGTTTGTCTCTTTCAGACGAAACTATACGCGATTTCTACTTGATCAGCTCCCTTGCTATAACTCTCCTGAAAAAACATATGAACATATAGCATTTGTCTGGGCTCTCATATGGCCCCAAAGGCAAAGTCTGCCGCAACATATGAACTATACATTTTGTGCCTGAAACCTAGACCAACAGACTAATTTAGTCTGCTAACGAGAGCCCTGGGGGGGGGGGAATGGGGTGTGGGATGGGACGTCTTGATGGGGTGTCTTTATTGGGGGTTTTGATTGGGTATCTTGAGGGGTGGTTTTATGTGTGTTGCATTTGGATTCTTTGTGGCAGTTTCACTTTCCTTCTCCTTGTTGGGTCTTTCTTTCCCTTCTTTTCCTCTTTCTGTCTAGGTCCATGAGAGATTCATGTGTGTACACTGCTTATGGTCCCTTGAAGCCGCGTTGTTCTGTGCGAAGGACATCTCGCGTTTGACGCGCCTTTCTCCCATTCCCGTATTTAGGGTTGACCCCTCTCGAAAATGCATCCAGGTTCCCTAGGGGTTTTATTGTTTTCTGCCATGCCCGAATAGTTCTCGGTAGCGTCGTCTAGTGCTTTCGGTAGCATTGTTTAGCGGTCGGTTGCGCTACCGAGCACTACCAGAGCATCTCTCGTTTGAAGCCCTTGTCAAGCTCAACCAATCGAAATCGAAACCCTATCCACCACCGCTCGACACTAGCGAAGCGGAACGGCGATTCGAGGATTACAGTAGCGTTTGCTGTTGTCACCTTCGAGGTTTGAAAATTCACACAGAAAGCCGACTCGAAATGCGAATTGATTAGACGAGATCAGCATCTGGCTGGAATGTTGGAATTTGGAATACATGCTCTGTTGAAGTTGGTCCAATATCTTGGTGGCAGCGGTGGATGAAAGCAACACTCACCATCTACCAGTTTCGTGAAGCTCCACGGCTTCCAGAAACAGCGCCTCCTTAATTTCCTTCAGCATACAGGCGCTTTGAACGAAGTAGGACGGTTTGTACGCAAGAGAAGCTATCGCAGTCACGACTGCTCGGACGCACCACTCACCAACACAAAGCTAGAGAGGCCAATGGCGCCGTCTATTTCCATACGCCGCCCTTCCGCGACAGTCCTCGTCCCGCTCCCTCGCGCCAGGCGCGGAGCGCGAAGATCGCAACGGCAAAAATGTGTGTCGCGAGCGAGTTCTCCCACCGTAGAAGCGACCACAACACCCACCAATGATGGCAGTCCACCACTCAGCGCCTCTCGCCTCCATTCTCCGTCCTCGCTCGCGCTACTGCTTCCCGCCCTCCTCCTACTCGCCGCCCACGTGCTTTCCCTTGCTGCCGCGTCCGCTGTCGATGTGCCATCGCTTATACCAGCGGAGGCGACGAACTGGGCAGGAGCGGCGACGAAGCGCGTGAGCGCGATGGCAGGGGCGGGCGACAGGAGCGAGCGCAGTGCCGGGAAGGAGGGTGAGAGGCGACCTGGAGGAAATTCAGGCGGCGTAACGAGCGGGACTGACGCGGAAGAGTCGAGAGGTAAGAATCGCGCGTAGGAGGATTGGTTTTCTGGAGGGGCAAGCTTATGCGCCGGTGCTCCCGCATACACCGCCCGCTTCCTTTTGGCTCCCCAATTCACCGCGCGATCTGACAAAGTTCAGCGAGCTCCGCGCCACTGCTGTGACAGCATGATGCCGAATCTTGAATCCCCGTTACCAGGTCCACATCTTGCGCTCCCGCACAGCCGCAGCTGCATGGTACTATCTGTCTGCCCGGATGAAAGGTGTGATTGGCAACGTCGAATACGATTCCTCCTGCGCGCCCTCTTACCCCAGTATACACCGCCCCAGAACCAGCACATCCTCCCACATCCCTTCACCCTGTCCCCTACCCCCTCTATTTGTCCCCCGCCACACCCTTTTTTCCCGCCCGTCCTCTCCCTTGCCACGCCCTCCCGCAGTCTACATCGTCCGCTTCCGCACAGCGCCCCCGGTCACCGCGTACACCGGTGGATTTGAGGGCCACAGCCCCACCGCCGTGTCGTCACGAGGCCGCGGGGGAGGCAAATCTGGGCGGTATCGTTTGGACTCTAGTGATAAGCGGGTGGTGGCGTACTCGCAGCACGTGCAGGCGATGCAAGACGCGGAGTTGACACGTGGCGGCGTAAATGCGAGGAAGCAGAAGCTGTACAGGTGAGCAAGGCCATCCCGCCCGCCACCCTCGCACGCTTTGCGCTAGCATGCAGGATTCCGCCCACTTTCCCCACCGCTCACCCACCCATGGACCTTCGCCTCCCACCCCCCGCCCCAGTTACACGTTTGCGCTCAACGGAGCAGCAGTGCGCCTCACCCCCGCGCAGGCGGCTGCGCTGCGTAAGCAGGCGGGCGTGTCGGCGGTGTCGGCGTCTGCGCGACTGCATGCGCGCACCACGTACACACCGTCACTGCTGGGGCTGCGCAACCGCATGTGGCGGTGGCAGGACCAGCGGGGGAGGGTGCTCAAGGGGGAGGACGTGATCGTGGGCGTCATCGACACGGGCGTGTGGCCCGAGAACCCCGCCTTCAGTGACCAAGTGCGTCCTTGCGCATCGCGTGTGCCTACTGGGGTTGCGCACGCCGCTTGTGGGGGTGGAGGGGCTGCACAAGGGGGATGCAGGAGCCACCGGTGTGGGCGTGTGGCGGGAGAGGATGGGGCTGGGCAGGAAAAGAGTGCCTCTGCTGACCTCTTTTCCTGCGCGGAAAGAATGGGAAGGGCTCAAAGGAAAAGAGGTCAGCATAGGCGCGATTGACACGGGCGTGTGGCCGGCACGTGCCCTGCTCCACGGCCCTGCCCTTTCCTCATCGTGGTGCTGCTGAGCAACTCCCCAGTTTTAACGAGTTTCAGGCGTGCTTGCCCTCTCTTCCCCCTTCCTGCCTGCCCCATTTTTCTCATTACAGGTCTCCCCACCATATGGCCCCGTTCCCGCGCGGTGGAAGGGGGGTTGCGGCAAGGAGAATGCGATGGACTTTCCGGCACGGCTGTGCAACGGCAAGCTGGTGGGCGCTAAGTACTTCATGAAGGGCTTCGCGGCGGACGAGCCGGTGGACTGGCGCTTCGACTACGCGTCGCCCAGAGACGTCGTGGGCCACGGCACGCACACCTCCAGGTACGCCGCTGCGCTCGCGCGCGCACTGCCACAAGGGATGCCGCACGGGTTGGTAGAGCTGCAGCGCCGCTTGACCTTGCGTGCACCACACGTGGCGTGCGTCACAGCAAGCACGCAGGGAGCGTGCCCCTTGCTTGCTGGAATCACTGCAGCCGCCTGCTGTGCCCATTACCCTGCCTCCACGCACTGACCTGCCCTTCTGCTCTTCCTCCCTCCCCCTGTTGTCTTGCGCGTGCCACCACTGGCAGCACGGCAGCGGGCAATCAGTGGAACCAAGTGACCCTAGGCAACGTGACGTTCGGCACAGCCAGTGGGGTGGCACCCAGGGCCCGAGTGGCCATCTACAAGGTATGCCCACACACTGCCACAGTGGCGCCCGCGCAAGCAACCTTGGGCTGCCCACGTAGTTGCTTTACACTAAGTGGAGTACGCTATGGGATTCC